CTGTTGTTGTCTATGGACGTTATCTGATTCAAAATGATCACGTGGGCAAGGGAGTGAAATAATTGAACCACACGGGACCATGAGGTTCGACGTAGTTGCGCTCCCGTTTCATTTCATTCGTCTCTCATGTCAAAATCATTCGTCCATTTGAAGATGCTTGTCTCCTGGCGGTTATTCATCGGGTTGTAAATTGCAGGCGATTGTCACGATGGAGATTAGTTGGGAACTTCCTGTACAGGTCAGAATTGTATTGAATACTTTTTGAGCTTAGATATTTTAAAGCTGTACTTTTTGAGGAGTTGATTGGAGACTCACACAAAAATTCATTTCAGCAATGCACGATATCTCCCCCCGCTTATTGAACTCGCTCATTGCAAATGCTGTGCTTTCGAGATTAATTTTCACTCCTACTATACCTTAACCGGAGGTCGGTAGCACCCCAGCCGTTATGCCGCAATGCAATGCGGTAAGACGTCTAAAAAATATAAAAGCCAAAAATAGCGCAACACAGAGGTGTGTAATATTATTTGTTATTTTATTTCTTTTTCGTATTAAACACCGACAATGAAATCAAGTTTGGAGCGTTGGCTAAGCCCGAAGCAGACGGACAAAGACAGTCACAACACAACCGCCATTGAGGTCGGCTCATCGCCATGTCAACGGGTGTATTCAAACAAACCTGTTCATCGTCCGTGGAATCCCACCTAGGAGGTCGGGAAGCTCCAACCAGCACCAAATTCGTAGCGCTTTCATTCCTCTCAACCAAGCAAGCGCTTCGCCTTCCCTTCTTTTCGATCATCGTCCCGTTTGCGCAAGCAACGCACGTCGCGGGAGTCGGTATGGTGGAGCCCGTGGGATTGAAGATGAGATCACGAACTGTATAGCAAAAGACGAGGCGCTTTTGCCAACCTTGGCCACTTATGTCGCCGGCGCGAAACCACTCTTGCCCTGAAGGGTAGAGTGTACGATGCTGCGGTACGTTCGACCCTACTATACGATTGTGAAATCTAAGCCCTGAGATCAGTGGACATAAAGAAGCTAGTTACGTTTGACCATCGGTGCCTTCGCAATTTAGCTCACATCTGGTGGGCACGGAATAACCAAGGAACGTGTTTGACGTCTTGTTTACTGCACAGGAAAAGGAAAGGAACCGCTCAGAACCGTTATTTCACGCACCAGTCTCCGATAGCTCGGCCACGTGTTGCGCATGCCAGCCCACCGACTCCCGCGACGTGCGTTATTTGCGCGCCAGGGGTGTGGATGGAAGAAGAGGAGAGGTGGCCAAGCGATGACTTGGTCGAGAGGAATGAAGGCCCTGACTTCGAAGCTGGCCTCAGTTTGAACGTC